TATATATATATATATATATATATATATATATATATATCCAAGTATGATGCATCTGCTTAATAGTTTTAATTCTCATCTAAGAAGCTGAGGTGTCTGGGACAATCTGTGCAATAAATATGAAATGTGACCCAAAAACAACTAAAAAAGTAATGACTAATAGCAACCTCCCCACAAACAAAAGTCATACTCCAAAGGGAACCAGTTATAGCAGTAATCTAAATTAGTTGACTTATTCGAATAAATTGATACCTTAAAAACTAATTATCCAATAGCGAAAAACGAAGTCCGTACAAAACAAAATAGCAAATTGATTTTACCTGTTAAGATCATTACGATGACAGATAAATATAATAATGGCAAGTTAAAATGGTACAGACTTTGAAAAATGGTAATATTGAGTCAAATGTTGACGTAGTTAATCAATAACTAAAATGATAACTAACCCCTCCTCACTGAAGCAAGGTGATTACTAATTGAAGTTCAAGGAAAAGCAACTTATCAACTTCAAATATGTTTATTATGAGGAATATTGACTAGATCAACATCAGGCATATAATATTGAGAAATTTAGGATGGGAAATGAGGACACACTTTCAATAAATGGGAGGGTTTGATAAAATGCACAATCATTGAGATATTGATAAAATAGATGTAAAGAAAGGGAGAAGGGGTGATTGAAACCGAATCGAAGGAGGAAGCGCGGGTTACATTGAAGAAGTAATTTGCTACTACATCGACTGTAATTTGAGAATGAGAGCTCGAGTGAATGCAGCTGCAGAAAGAGCAGAGTAGGGTTGCCAGATAGTTCCAGCCGATCCAGGTTCTGTTCCTTGACGTCCCTCAGCATAGTCAGCAATTCCACGGACAATCAAGAAGGAGTCGATGGCGTTGCCCATAAGAGATTCGATTACCTGATCGAATTCAGCGTCATAGGCCAAGAGATCCTGATTGAGAGCGTAAACTTCGCGTAGGCTTGGGCTTTGAGTGACGGAGTGACCGGATCCAATGCAGCCAAGACGAACCAGTGGAGGGACTGGCATCTCGCCAGATGGTGGCTCTGGATGCTTTACATCCACAACCATCTCTTCACCAATCTATTGGAGAAAAGAATTACTTAATAGAGATAGAAATAACCATCTTCAACAAAATTCTTACTAAGTTAGACGAGGCTACCAACTTACCTGAATCTTAAGTTTATCATATTCTGCCGGTGGTCGTTCATAATCGAATTCATGATCTTTAAGATTTTGAAGTCCCTCCTTAATGATGGGATGCCATGAAGAGGACCCTGCTTCTATGAGTGCCTGGGCACATTTGAGCAGAACTGAGTCCTTGGGGCTGAACTTTTTACTGGTAAAGTTCAGATCGCCTCCATTCTCTTGATGGCCATTCATCACCTCGTCGACATTCTCACAAAAGATATACCAGGGCTGAGGTCTACCACGTGAAGAGGCAACGCCAGGTGCTGAAACAACTATATCACCAAGTCGAGAGTGCTTCTCAAACTCGTAGACATGTGGAACTCCGCCGCCAACGCCTGACAGAATCACATGCTGGATCGATTGAAAAGTTCCTAAAGTAAAAATATAGGTCTAATTATAAGTATTTTAGAAGAACTTTAGAATAAAAGTTAGTAAGTGATGGTCCAGTCTCAGTCTGCACGCCATACTGCACTGTTTTGACACCCAAAAATGTCGCTGCTATGATTGAGGTTTGACTCATTTAGAGAAAAATCCAAAGGTTTTAGGCATAAATTTAAAAGCGAAAACCATTTTTACTATGAGATCAATCTATTAGGTTGGCAACTAAATCATTGCCGATTTCAAATAAGAAGGCAAATTCGGAATTTTTGTTTAAAAATATAACTTTATTCAATTAGATATTAGCCGTTCTTGTCGATGACCTTTTTCCATCGTTCTGGCAGAGTAAAAATTCCCCCTTCGTAAAATGTCTGGTCTTTGCTATTAAAAAACTGAATTAGGTGTGATCCGACATCATCCGCGTTGTTAACAATTTTACCATTTAAAGAGTTTTGCATGGAACGAAACAAATGGTAATCCGAAGGCGCAAGGTCAGGGCTATATGGTGGGTGTGACAAAACATCCCAACCCAGTTCCAATCATTTTTGCCGAGTAACCAAAGATGTGTGGGGCCTTGCGTTATCATGATGGAAAACAACACCCTTCCGATTTGATAATGCCGGCCGCTTATCTTCAATTGCATCCTTCAGTTTTTCGAGTTCTTGAACACACACATTTGAATTTATCGTTTGGTTCTGCGGCATGAGTTCAAAATACAAAATTCCTTTGTGATCCCACCACACTGACAGCATAATCTTTTTTTGGTGAATCACTGCTTTTGATACTGTTTGGGCTGGTTGATCTTGCTTCACCCATGATCTCTTGCGAGTAACATTGTTATAAACTATCCACTTTTCGTCACCAGTAACTAGGTTCTTCAGAAATGGATCATTCTCATTCTCATTGCGTTTCAGTAGCGAATCACAGATGGTAATCCGTTGCGTCAAATGAATTTCCTTTAACTGCTGGTGAGGGATCCATAAATCAAGTTTCTTGACATAACCAAGGGTTTTTCATTTTTTTCAATGCATGTATGCGACACATTGAGCTTCTCTGCAATATCTCGTGTTGTGCTGTGACGGTTTGAATCGATAATGGCCTTGATATGAGTTTCATCCACTTCGACTGGGCGACCAGATCGTTGTGAATTTTTCAGTGAAAAATCACCGCAACGAAATCTTTCAAACCAATTTCGACACTGCCTTTCTTTTAAGGCGGCTTCATCTCCATATACGGCACATAACTTCTTTTGTGCTTGCGATGCGTTCTTGCCTTTTCGGAAGTAATACAATAAAATGTGTCGGAAGTGCACGTCCTGTTCTTTCATTTTTAAATTGGGATAAAAACAAAACTAAAGAACTAAACAAAAAAAAAATTTTACTAATTAACCTAGAAGCCCATACAGTAAGAAAAAAATATAGGTTAGATGCTCTGGCCACGTTAACAAAACAAAAGAAAGTATAGAGTGAATCTGTCAACAAAAACGGCAATGAATTAGTTGCCAACCCAATATATCTCATGGTTCTACATCGACTTAAACTATAATCATCCGCATTATCACACGAATTTTGTAACATATGCTTTTCATTTAAACACACATCAGAAGTGTAGTAGTAGAATACTGACACAATTTCTCTAAGTGCAGGGTAGCCTTGACAAAATTCAAACATGTTAATACCATGTAGTGTATAGAAATAAAAAAAATAACGGAGCTTTTACTGATAATTTTGATGCTTACAATCGCGTAACAAGGCGCAAAGACGTACAATTTAGAAACCTCACAGAGTAGGTTTCACAGATAACTTAAATACATCTAAAAAGACGGCAAAATTTGTAAATAAGCTAACCTAATAATACAAACACATATCTAAATATTGCTTTATGTTAAATTGATTTGTGAAAATTTCGAACAGAAAAATAAATTGATTAAATAGAGATGGGCCCCGTGATCTCGCATTCAACCAACGATGAATGTTAGAGACCGCTTCACTGAATGGAATGATGAAAAAAATGAGGACCCGAGGGAGAGCAATAAAGAAGCTGGAAAAGTAGTGAGATGCAAAATCGATGCGAGCAAAGTTGTAGTTGGGACCATAACTAGGGTCACATCAGTAATTGCATTTCCTAGAATTTGTTAGCTATGGATTTGACACTTATACATAAATGCTTCAAGAACCACTTAAAACTCCTTTTAGAAGTACTAATTTACCCCCAATGCAAAGCTAAAGCTACAGTACCACTCAAACAACGTCCGCTAAAGAGAAAGAGTGGAGTCAATCAATTCAGTTTCACCAACTATAAAAAATAAGCTTGTCTTCTACTGCCCAGGAAACTAGGACATTGAAAGTATAATTTTATGTTAGTTACGATGAACGCAATTAAGAAATGTGTAAATTCAATTGAAAACATTGACCATATGAGTATGTGGAGTTTTAGATTGCTACTCTTCATGCTCAGTTGCTGTAAATTTGCTGTTGCGGTCCAAGATTGCCCCACTAGACCAAATTCTCTTCCACATTTCCCGAATGGTATGTGGTCTTCTAGTTTGTGGAGGCACAAATGTATTTGAACCATGATGACATTAGCGAATCGAGACCACCATTAACTTAAACATTCATAGTCTGCTCCACAAGGATAAGAATGTTTTGAATATTTGTCCTGAAGAGAACAAGGTGCATATTAGCCTATTAAGGTGCTCTTTAACAAACACGTATTAGGGCCGCACTCCTTGCAGCACATTAAAGGTTTCCGACATCCAGACAATTAGGCTGGGCGGGAAGAGTGTACAAACCGGCCATTGATTCAGCTATTGGAAAAGATGCCTTTCCTTATAAAAAGTAGGTAATAAGGAATAATAAAGAAAGGCATGACAACTCCAAATGAAAAATGATAAAGCCATTCGGCTGCATCCACAAACCAAAATCAAACACAGTGTTAAAAATGTTAATATAAATAAAAGTAACCTGAATCGATAATAGCTTCTAGACTGGTAAATAACTGCAAGAATTGGAAATCTAAAGAACGAATGCAAGGTATACAGAAGCGCCTACTAATTGACAGCTCAAAATTACGATCATGCTATTTGTGCGAATATGATAATAAGCAAAGCTCATACCAAGTAACCGGGTGGTAATGCTCCCAGAGGAGATTTTCGCCTGTAATTCCCAACCGACCATGGGGAGTTTCACGGAGATCACCTTTACGGAGCCAATGTAACCGATAGTGTAGACATTGGAGTCACCTTCCGTTTTGTATCTAATATAGGTTGTCTTCCGTTCTATCAAGGAGTCCACCGCTAGCTTTTCGCAAAGAAGATTCGTGATAATAGCCACTGTAGGTTTCTGCTCATCTGAGAGGGATTTCAGTTTATCAGCACCGGCAATAACCTCAACTAGAAGGGAAAGGACATGGCCGAAATATTACTGACGCGATTGGAATAAGTAAGAATAACGGGACTTGGGAACGAACCTTTGTGAAAGACATCGAGTCTACGACGATAGCCAATTTTCTTCTCGGGGCCATTCTCAATGAAAACTGGCTGAATGAAGTTGGTGTCCTCCAATTCCTTCAGTTGCTTCATCAACAGAGCCTTGTCATCAAGATTGGTGAGGCTGAAAACAAATTATAAAATAGATTAGGAAGAATCTAGAGGTATAAACTCTAGCTGTGAAATTGAAAGCAGTCACAATCTCAGGACCTCAAAAAGCTTTTGAAGTGTAATACTTTGTGGAAAATAACACCACATTAAGCGGTGCAAAAATCCCAGAGTATAAAGGTGGATGTAAAATAATGTAAGACAAATCCCTTAATTGAAATTCAAATGAGGTAAAGGTATTCTATAAGTAAAATGCCTATTTTCTGCAATCATTATAAAGTCACAAGTTCGAAATCTACTGGAACAGAACTAAAATTCAAAATGATTCAATACATACATTTTTTCTATTCCGAATGGCTAGAACATAGTCTTTGATAAACTATCATAAAATTAGCTTAAAACCATAAATATTACAATCGGTAAATGAATCGGAACAGAAATCCACCCACTAGTTTGATTATTTACAGATAAAACTATTAATGCCTCTGAAACGATGATGTAGAAAACTGACAGATTTGCAGTGATTTAATCTTCGGGGAAGTTATTTTTTCTGAGATTCGATCACTCAATGGGGGATAATTGAGGTTAATTTCCTTCGCGCTGACAAGCGGAAGTAATTGTGTTTCAGCTATGAGACATGCCCCCCCCCCCCCCCCCCCCCCACCCCGGAAAACAGTTGGCGAGTGAATTAAGTTCGTCGATTTTGAAGAGAGTTGTTGGTAGACCGGCGAAACAAAGAAATAAACAGCTGCTGCAGCCTCCACAGCTAAAGGACGGTTGGTCATACGAGGTAATTAAATACTTTTGAAATAAAAGCTGTTCAGTGAATTCGATTACCAAATTCTATACATTTGTAACTAATTGACTAATGCTAAACTAAAGGCAATGTCAATGCATAGACATGAGGTAATTCAAATACAGAAGATTAAGGGGGCGTACTGCTTATAATGTAAAAGTGAAGAATTCTAATAAATCCTTTTCCTTATTGGTCAGCGTAAACAAAGAAACAAATTTATGTAACTTAACTTCTGTACCACTTTCTACTTCAAAAAAACTGACTGAAAAGTCACTCAAATTTATTGGCTAAGGCCTGGAACTCGTGTCCAACCCATGGCGTCTTCTCATGAAGAGGGGCGCATAGAAGGCGTGTGCCACTGTCAGTTAACAGTTTCTTCGTATCTGCTTAAAATTGATTCAATTGTATCGTCCTATCATTTGGTTTAGAAACATATTTGCCGATTCATGAAAGAAGCCACATTTAAATTAAGAAATAAGCTAAACACACCAGACTACAGGTATTGGAGTTACTCACTGTTTACTAACATAGGAAGTCACCCGAACATCAGTCAATCAAAGAAAATATGAGGCGTTTGATGAATACTCTACCAAAAAAGTCCTAAACAATTCATCGGGACAAGAAGACCCAGAAAGAATATGATAAAGCTTATGAATGTGTAAAAAGTAAATATGTTTTTAGTTTAAACGACAGATTCCCTTTCTTTGATGTAAAAATTAAACCAATTTGCCCAGTTGGACAATAAGACAGTAGTGCTGAAATCGGTAATAGATAAACCAGTGCCCGAGGGATGAAGCCTGCAAACTTCGCAAACCAATATTCCACTGAATTTCCGAAAATCTCCCATTAAAGAGTTCGTATATTCCCACTTGGCATGAACGAAGAAGGTGGAGATTGGCTTAACAAATAAATTACACATCTAATGATTACGAAATAAATCTACTGTACTTGGAGATAATTGGCAGATAAAGATGTACGCCAAGATATGCTTGTAGATAATAAGAAAGTTTTACTTCCACATATTTAAAAGCAATTGCTAAGAGATGCCCACGAAACGAAACTTAAATAAAAAGAGACCAAACTGCAAGCAGGTAAGAGCAACTGAAAAAAATATAAACGAGACGAGCTGAGATGAGAAGCTGAACTAGCTTACGGTGAGCGTGGTATAATTTGAGATCTGTTAGAACAGTAAGAAAGGCGTTAGCGATTAATGAATGCCTATGAACAAATATGCGCTCAGCATGAGAAGGCGAATGCAAAGCAAACATGCTGCAGAGAGACAAGTCTAAAACGTACCGAATGAGATCATCCATGGAGAGTACATTAGGGTAAGCATCTTCCAGAGTTCGCAGCAAACCTTCACGGACTACAAGTTCCACAGGCCTTTGATTAACTTCTACAGAGAAAGCAAATTGAGTATTAGATTAATAGCACACATTATAGAGAAAGGAAGTGAAAACTTGAAAATATCCTCCATTGTATTCAGGATGCATTTTCTAGTGCTAAGGTCAGTAGTGGTAGACTTTCTTGAGAGCAATTACCCAAGAAAAAATGGAGAAGGTGAATGTAGGTGAATCATTCCCTTAAATAGTCCATACATATACAGATGTGCTGTTTATGCGCCTAGAGGTGGGCAGCAGTTGTAATGGAATGGAATGCGCAACGATCGACTAAGCAATAAATCCGCAGTCAGACACATTATTATTATAAAACTTGAGCGAGCAATGAGGTACTTGGTCTTTATTACGGAGCTTGTAGTAGTTGCGAAGCGCCAAACGGGCAAGGGGTTCGATACACACTTAATGCTGTGGATATTACTGTCAAAAGAACGCATGAATAACATCAAATTTCCCGCAAGAAGCACCAATTTTGAAATCTTTTGGCCACTTTCAGTGTTGAAAATCACTTCTCCACTACCTTAACTAGAGACCACATCGGTGTCGGTCTTAGCTACATCTAAGTGGAGATCTGGAAGAGAGAGCATAAAGGCTTCGAAGGGAAAGGTTAATGGTTGAAATAGGAGATTAATTAATAATAAAATCGCAATTGGATTTAATGAAGCACTTGTGAATAAGTTATATAATAAGCTCAACTGGAAACAAGGACCTGAAAAATAATTGTAATTCAGTATTAGAGCTTCACTACTGCAAGAACTTAAAATCAATAGCAAATAAATAGTACTCCTTTAGAAGGAGCTTATTTTACGATATCCACCATCAACACTTGCCGTTCAATTTCAGAAGAATAAATCAAACAAAACTCGGTCAAGATTTGAATTGCTAGGAAATCCTACCATATCTCCCAACTTTAAGCATCCTTTTGAATTTACCATACTATTGAAAGTTATAACTCGCTGATTGACTGAAAACATTGATGCAAAATTTAACCTACTTCCTGGAATCTCAAAGTCTAATCCCATTACAATATTCAAACAATTATAAATATTAAAGTGAAAGTGTTGAAGTGCAATGCGTGCACAATATTTTACTATAAATCAACTTTGGTAAGCAAAAAGCCACATCCGAGCCAATAACTACAATTGTTATTTAATGTCAACTTCGTAGAAGATTAGTTGATTCTTGATACGTTTCAATAACTTTTATACAATATTGCAGTAGTTTTAAATGCAGCATCAAACACTAATATTCTAAAATTTCCTTCGTTGCCATTAATAGCTTGATTTATGTCGTATGTCCTAATTAAGTCATTGAAACGATTGACTAAGATGAGATTTAATACTCAAGGAGAGTGGTGAACTCGATATCTCTAAATCATTCTTCAAATGGCAATATCCTTAATCAGACCACTTGAATCAGACAACATTGGATTGCGAGCCTAACGCTACAAAGATTAACAGGGGTACCAGAATTTTTTTTTAATACTCATCAAATTGCAGCTTTCTTCTTGTTTTACCGAGACCGAAAGCTGAGCGAGATATTGGAAGGAATTAGGAGCATGTGAACCGATCTCATTACTCAGTGCGAAGCTATAGCCTGGAGTATGAAATGAAAGAGGCAAAAAAGCAACATATTTTACTACATGTACAGTTGGCCCAAAGATATAGGCACAGTGCATTACAAAATGATGTATGCTATTCAGCCGCTTTTGACATACAATTTCATGGCAAGCAAGTAACTTACTTGAAGCCTTATTCCCAAAATAAAAAAAACTTATCCAAGGGGAATAAATATAGAATGCGTGATTACTTCCAGACGATCATCTACAAATCAAAAGACACAAACTCCAAACACTGAAAAAAATCCCTAAAACGACCAGATTGTGAAATTTGATTTACTGAATGCATAAGTCAACTTGGACAAATACTAAATTCATAATATCCTTAAGAAGGGTAGGTAAAATGACCTCTTTAAAGTTAGTTCTTGGGACAAAGGTGAATGGGCAAGTATTGGTGAAGAAACGAAAAATTGGAAATATTGAATGGCAATAAGCCAGTAGCATAACGAGCATATCAGCAGAGTTAGACGCCTCGACATCAATACTAATTGATGCACTAGATAATTTTAATGCAATATGCGGTGGGCTTGCAAGATGGCATCTGCCAGTTCTGACCGTAAAGCACTCTAAATAACCATAGCTACATAGTGGATTAAATGAAAAGATTCCTAATACTACATACTATCTTCCTATAAAAAGAAATCTAAAAATCTCAGGTGAAATTCTTTCCTTATATGACATAATCGCACAAGGCAGGCAATGATAATAATTTTTGTCCATGGATAGCCTTCAGTTAGTCGTCTACTTCAATGCGACTATCTGTCATTAATGCTTTAAATTTAACTATTTGGTAAGTCAACTCCACCTTATAAAGGTTAGGATAGTTTTACATTAAAAAAACTGCAATCAGAAATGGTAAAGAATCGAAAAATATAGCCAGTCTCCATATAGCTCACATTTTGACAGTCACAGCGAAAACATCCCAACTAGATTATAATAGTTTCCACTAAATAAGTGATCAATTACCACTGATGAAAGGGTAAAAAAGTAGATGGAATGATTCTATACTGATTTTCGATTGAGTTTACAAATCAACTACTTTCTTATCAAAGGAATTTTGGCAATTTATTTCCATCATAAATTTTCAGAAATTACTTATGTCCTTAAAATAAAGGTAAAGGCCGCTTTTCAGTTACCCACTGTCGCAAGAGGATTAAATTAGAAAGAATGCAAACCAATAGGAATATTAAACAAAATGAATAAACCAAATAACAATGAAAAAGTAATTTCTGTACAGTGAAATATCTCCATTAAATAGAGACTGGATGGTACAAAAGGGAATGGATACGCATAAAAATACATGATTTGTGATGTTGAATAAAGTGACAAATAATCTAACATATTGAAATAAGCGACATCAACGCTCGAGTACGCTCGAGGTAATTTCGGAGGCACAGCAGCAGTCGCCCTGGGGGGCAAACTCAATTATCCCTATTTAATCAGTGCTATTGGGCATTCCGCTAACTGATAGTATATCAGTGGATTTCGGAGACAGGGATGTTAATCACTGCAAATACAAGTAAACTGATAAATTTAAGGTAAAGTAAAACAATAGACTATTTGAAATTCCATTGTGGAGATAACTATAATTAAATACCTATTTCGGTGTGTTAGGTCTTGTATTACTTCAAGCTGGGGAAACTGAACACCAAATTCGCATATTAAATTTATAGTTAAGATTACATTTGCTCAGAGCCTCTCCATTATTAGATGTTGCAAAACTCCCTTCGGGATTACAAGATGACAGGATGTGACAAGGGACCTTTAAACAAAACAAAATCACGATTTCTGTTCTTTAAGGCTACTATTTTCACCGAAAGAGGGAAAGCAAATTGCTTGTATACATATGAACCTTAACAAGAAGCAAAGATAACAAAAGCGAACTTTGCACTTCGTAAAAGGCAGCAAATTTCGCAATGTTTATAAATGAAGTCTTGGCTATGAATTTCAAACCATCGCCGTTCGCACAAGATTCTCATACTGAAATCCAATTTTCGGGACACACAGGAATCACATGCACGTACAGAGAAATCAACTTTCGAGCACTGGTCCACCGAAAAAAAGAACCACCCAATCAAATTGTCGGAAGCTGAGTGATGATTCAGCAAAATTTAATTGAGGATAGGATAGTACACTTGGCCTGATTCAGTTTCTTTCATCAGCAAAAAGGAAGGCACGAACAAAGTATTGAAATTAAATCGCTTCAGCTCCATACGCGATTACTCATTAACAAGCTCCAAAACAGAGCCCACCAAGTAATGAAATCTCGACCACCAAAAGCGAACCTTGTAATACTTGGCAACGGGGTTTTTGAAAATACTTTATAAAAAGCGAGTATTATCATCAGATTTCCGGAATAAAATTATGAGATTGTACTGCTATTTGCTCACAGAAAAATCTTTGATCAAAGATAAAACAAAAAGAAATAAGTGCAAGAAAGAAAGGTGAATAGGTTTAGATATAGCTTGAGATACAGAAGAACACAATTTTTTGGTTCGGTCATGGTATAGATAACCCAATGCTATGAGGAAACTAAGCAAGCAAATTCACGGCGACAAAGCAAAGCCATTTAAATAGTAAATTTAAGGATGTGAACAAATAGTCAAGTTGAACGAGTTTTCTGAGAAATTAGCATTTCATTAGTGGTTCAAATCGACGCTAATTTAATTATGTTTAAAATATGCAAAGAACGAAAGGTAATGAAGACAGCGGTATGAAAAATGAAACAACCAAAGAAGAGAAGGCTTAAAGTCAGAAAAGTTAATAAGCCAGCCATGTGAAGTCACCAAATTTCTCCCAAGGAGACCCAAGCGCAAAAAATAGTTCAAAACCCCTTATTAACATTCAATAAAGCGATGATACGTTAGAACCATGGACCCACAGATAACTGAAAAAAAATTCGGTGGCCGAAAATTACTTGAATTAAATTAAATATAAAACAGTAAATCTGATGAAAATTATGGCTAAGTGAAAAGAAGAATAAATTCGTCACCAAAAGCATTATAGTAGTTAACCTATCCAACTAAATTCACCTCAATCTAACCTGAACACAAATAAAGAACAAAAGAGTAAAATGAAGAGAAACGAAGTTGGCCAATCGGAAAGAATCTGTGCATTTCCCAAAAAAGATTATTCAGGCAGCTTATTATAAAGAATGAGGAAAAATAAGTCTAAATACCGAAACGTCATGATAATAAATAATCTGAGTTATACTACAAAAAATATGCCTTCCATTGACAATCTATACAGATCAAAGTATAAGTGAAATAAATGATTTTACTAAATATATCAACTTAAAACGATATGAATAAATTAAGTCAAAAGAAATAAGACGTACCAGGAACGAAGGCATCCTGAGAACACGGTTCAAGAGGAACAATATCCAGATCGACCCTTCTAAGATTTGAGTAGTTATCACTCTGAAGAAGCTTCATCATTCGTTTAATGAATCCGACATAATCTATTGATAAGAGGGGGATAACATTGAACAGCGAAATTTAACAGCAATATGAGAACAAAACCTACCTTTAGGAAAAGTCTCTTGATTGACCAAATCTTTAAAAAATTCATAGGAGTCACTCAATTTGCTGTTGTGGTCAGTGCCTTCGATAAACCAAAACTTGAGACGACGATTTTCCTGAAAATATGTCTAATTTTAAACATAAAAAATTAGTTATTGCATGCAATGCAAGGCAAGAATGTAGAAAATATTTCAAACGTGCCGTTTGAGTAAATAAAAAGAATAACTAACGCATGCAATTGAACAAGTTGTTACAACAATAGCACATAATTTAGGTTGAGAGCATAATATCGTTTGAATATTAATGATAGAATACATAGATTAAAATAAAATTAAACTTACTGCATGACCCTCTTCAGTTCGACTATTATACATCAAACAGGTAAACTCCAGCTGCATTTCTTGGGTTCCAGAGTCATCTGTTGCATTTACGTTTTCTTTGTTAATTATAATTCCGCTATGGACGCCAGCTCCCTTATGATAAACATGCGAAGGGTCAGGACTTTTGTCACGAACTATTTGTATAGTCTTAACATTGCCAATAGTCCTGGGAGTCATCGTAACTACCCGACCAGTCATCTTCTAAATCACGCAAAACAAGCCGCCCAAAGTTATAGTGAATATTTAACCTTAGCAAAATAGCGACCTCCAAAGTCCTTGGTCGATTTAAAAACAAAACATCGTTTAGTTTCTTCCAAAATCACTAAAGGAAAAGAATTATAAATAGTCTTGAAAATTATGTTTTTGCCTATTCGGTTTTATGAATTTTTATATATAGAATGAATATTTATGATTGAGTGTCTTTGATGGTAAATTAAATTAAGGTAAGCAATGAATAATGCATACATTATTTAAAAAGATATTTTAACATTATTTTAGAATTTAAAAAATGTCCATGCCATTTTTATTAAAATCAGGGTTTTCAATTAATTGTTCATTTTAAATAACGAACTATAATTGAGCTCTTCTAACGGTATTACATACTAACATAAAGAAATATTTTAATATTTCATATGTTTAACCATGAAAAAATTGGATAACGTTGATGTCGTTTTGTGTATATGACTACAAACAATGCTGATCTAATCGATATTAATCTATAAAACATTCTCTGTTGTCATAAGTAGTTAAACGTTTTTTAATAATCATGCTCTATTGATAAAAAGAGCAGTGTTAATATTGGAATTTTAATAATAATTCCCAAAAGTACTTACATCTTTTGTATGAAATCATTTATTTTAAATACTGCTAAAACGTCTCTTTTCATTTATATCCTCAAAAACACGCACCTTCTTATATCATTTTAAGTAAATATAACTAAAATCATGAAAAAAACCATACCTCAAAGATTCACTTTTCTACAAGTATATATTCCAAATTTCTCAAATTACAGTGATCTGAATTTTGTATTATGGTAAATTACATTCTCCAGTGCTTTGGTTCAGTAAGATCTAAATTTTCCAAACTGAAAAAAGTGTCAGCTAGTTATTTCGGAGTGAATGCAAATCAATTAATCATTAATTGATCTCCAACTATTCGTTGTAACAATGTGATAATGGTCAGTAACCACGCAATCAATTCCGGTGAGTTTCCCAAAAGGTACAAATTTTTATGGGGGTTGTTGTAAAAATTTTTGATTGAAAACTTTGAAGAGAGTAAAAAGTTGATCACGGAGAATGGGGTGGCTTGTTGTTAGCGGGCTTTAGGATGGTGAGGTGGAGATACCAGCGGGTGTGCACATTTATGCAGACGGTATATAGAGTTCAATGAATAACATAAACATATTACGAGGTCTTTGTACACTTCTGACAGGTTAAACGTTTGAGACTTTTTAATGACTATACATTGTTTACATATCTGGGTTCAATCCCCAATTGTAAACCAGCGGAATTCCCACAACGGCCTTGGCGGGGGGGGGGGGGGGGGGGGGGAGGGGGGTTATGAGGTCACGCAAAAGCCCTAAGCTCTCCGTGTTCTACAGCAGATGCTAATTAACCCAACCGTTCATTACCGCAAAAAGCCGGCGACACTCAGTGTTGTTTATGGTTAAGTATACAAAATGCCATGCATAACTTTATACTGTTCCTTTATTTTAGAATTATGCTCTACGGTTATGTATCCCAAGTATTATGTGTCAATTAAAAGCATTTTTACTATTAAAAATAACAACTCAATCAATCGAAAGACTTAATATTTTAATTTCAGTATTTAATATGCATTGAACAAAGAATGGTAATTTCTTGCAGGAAAAAGTATTCTAGTTCTAATATAGTTCCATTCAATTAGCATGAGTTGGAGTAACAAATCTCGAGACCACCGACCTGAATTAATTAATTAATGGGTCAAAACCAGATCGTAGGAGCTAATATCTCACCTTACTGCCATCAATAACAACAGAATTTCCAAAATGTCGAGTGCCGAATGTTGTGTTGGCCTAAAAGAATTGAGACAATCACAGTGGGGATTTGGGAGATTAACATAGTCGAGAAGGAGAAGAGACGAAAGGCGAAAAAGAGTACAAAGACTATTCTTAAGAACTATTTAGCTTAGAACGCAAATGGTGGTATCAATGCTAACTTTCTAATAAATGAAAGAGTCACAGATAGGCTTTTCAACTATGGAGACATTAAAGTATTTCTTTAAGGATGCATATTAATAATACTTTTATGAAATTCACGATGTCTTCCTTTATTTATTTATTTCAAATGGCAGACGTTTTGATAGTTATCATTAGCCCTCTAGCTAACTTCAGGCTTCACGGGGGGAGGGAACATCAAATTAACAGAAGGTCGAGGGATGGGGAACAGAAGAGTGGTTTGCGGATGTAAAAGAGACAGACAGACACAAAGGTAGAAAAAAAGGTGAGGTGAGTACTGTGGGAGCATGGTAGGTTGAAGTCAGAAGTCAACTAGCGTTTTATAGACTTTTTTGACGTATGAGTAAACGTTGCCCAGGGTGCACCACGTGGAGGTAAGTCTATCGCATGTCTTCCTTCATACATTTTGTAAAGTTATCCCAACCTAATGTTTCTCTAAACAGACATTGGAGCATCTTTGATTTTAACGAATTAATTCGCTGTAGCTTGTGTTCTTCGATAGAAAGTCTATTCATTGTGATTTCGTACCTTTATATGGCAAGTAGAAATTGGTCAAACTCTACATTTTCAACGTTATTACAAAAATTAATTATGAAATTGAGATGTTTCAGTTAAGTAAATTTTGTTAAGATATTTCAGTCCACTCGTGGTTGTTACATGTAGTCACTCAACCGAAATTTTTTGCACACTGAGTGAAGTAAAACTTAGCAGTTCGACTAGAATATTATCCTATGGAATAATCTTAACTTCAGTGATGTAAGACCAAGTAATTAAGAAGTTCAAAACAAACTACATTATACTTGACCGACTTAGCCATCAAACGTCGAGATAACAACGATTTCCAAAATTGACTTAGGTTCAACAAGGCATGTGTATTTTTGCACCTAAAAGAGGACAATTGAATGGCTCAATTTACTTGTATATGTGATAACGATTATATCTTTTTATAATATTCCATTTTTCCAATATACCTCACACCGATTTAGCCTAATTTATTCATTAATTAGGGGTGTGCGATAGACTTACCTCCACGTGGTGCACTCTGAGCAACGTATATTCATACTGCAAAGCAGTCTATTAACTGGCAGTTGACTTCTCACTTCAAACTACCACTACCTCACTCTATGCCATTTTCGACTATTTCCACAGTACTCTTCTTACCTTTTTTCTACCTTTGTGTTTGTCTCTTACATCTTTGAAAGCTCTTCTTTCCCCCCCCCCCCTCTCGACTTTTTTTCAATTTGATGTACCTTCCCCTCTGTGAGGTCTGAAGTCAACTAAATGGCTAATGACAACCATCAAGACGCCCACCATTTGATATAAATAAATATTCATTAATTAACCCCCCCCCCCCATATACCAACATACCCTGCTCTTTCAGCCTGATTTCCTTACCGAGTAGATGGGCCAAATGCTTGTAAAATATTTACATACTTTACTTCATTTCAAATTTCATTCCTGAGATCAAGTTACCACTGCAGACAATTTCTTCTCGACTCAATATCGCAGCTGTTACAAGTTCAAAGGTCCCAATGGTACATAATAATTTAATCCAAAAATCCTATTACCAATATGTATTTTAGCATAAGTAAATATATAAATTATGATATTGGTTACCTTTAGAGTTCATAAATTGTATTTTTCACACGAATTTTAGGTGACGATTACTGCTATTTACAGAAGAGGAATAGGAGAAATATGAAGACTAAGTAAGGGTTGGTAGCTAGCCTCCATTTCTCCAAGAAATTTTAGGCCTGAGATATTTGATGATGCTACTTAGATCTGAGGATTACTTGAAGTCACTTGATAAATATTAATAATTAGTGTGTTTTTTTTTCAATTTCTTAGTCACATCTTTCATTAACCAGTTCTAAATTATATGAAGAATTCGAAGTAGGCTAAGCAAGCAACTTCATCATCCTCAACAAAAAGTGGCAAATCAATAAGATAAAATGGTCTTAGAGGGAAAAACCAGGAGGCATGAACTCGGAACTACTCAATTACGAGATCCAATGCTAAGGAGAGTAGGGGCCACCGTGCTATGATAGTCGATTCCTCTCACCTCCGTTAAGTTTTATTTTTTCTTGATCAATCTTACTATCACTCATGGGTTTATGAATTTTTTTGCCCTTACATTCAACATTGCATTATGTGCACATTGTCCTTTTATAAATACTTAACTTGATCATTCTTAACACTTGGCATACAGGATTGCTTTATGATTGGATAATAAAAAATTTCAAATCGCGTAATTACCTGCAGTTAATTCAAGTCTAATTGAAAAATTTTAATTTAAACACACCCAAAATTCATGCAATAACTGAATTCTAACATATTGACGCCTATCTAGATCTTATTCCACTATTCGAAGAAAAAAATAAATTGCTGCAGAGTAGAACAAGCAACCATGTTTTAAAATTATGCAAATATTATTAATTGATTAATTAATTCTTTTCCATAGAGTGCAGACCATTGAGCAGACATTCATTCGCCTGTAATTAAATTGAACTAAGCATTTATGTGTCAGTGGTATTAGAACTGAGAAATCTTAAGACAAATACGGTTCATAGACTTATTGATGAAGTGTCTATCTCACGAATATTATTAAATTAAGTGGTTCAAATGTAGTCGTACTCGAAACTTTATTAAATTTGGTTCATAATTCGCAGACCATTGATACCTGCACTAGTTACTAAATAATAAAGTTGCACGAATTAAGATTACAATTGTAAATTTTACATTTATATGAAGTTATGGGGAGGGCATTTTGTTGCGATAAAAAAGACTCCTATACCGTTCGGAAAAGTAAGATTCCGTGGCCAGCAAGTTTAAAGAATATCAATCCACGTTTGCCATGCGTTACCTCGCTAAAAAGAAAAGTACATTAAAAGAACTTCATTATCTAAATGCATATCTAGTTATTGATTCTTAACTGAGCTTCTTTAAGTAATTTTAATGAAATCTAAATATGCACTGCTATGCGATCATATTTTGGTCGCATGTAGTGCGCATAGGACTTTCTGGAAAGTACGACCCTGCAAGTAAAGACATCAGAGACAAACAGCAACAACAGTTGTGTAATGTAGAATAACAATAATTGCGCTTTATGAGTAAGGATGTTTGATAGTTTTCTCCGATGTATACAATAAACGCTTTTCACTGTATAAGTTCCGTGTTCATGATGCCTTGAACGCAGTCTAGGCCATTTCGGGTGTAACGTTGCACTAGATGGTTTCGCCAGAGAGGTTTGTTAAGGCTTACTCAAACGCTATTTATTTAGCATTCGCTACACATGTTTGTCCTTTACTTAAATAACTTTGATTTATTTAACAATTACTTTTTGCAACAATATGAGTATTTTAGATTACCCCCCAAAAACTTAGCCTTAAAACTTTACATTATACTTTTATAAAACATACCTCTATTTCCACATTATCACATATTCCGAAATCAAATAAATTTTGAGTAGCAATAATTGAAAGATTTCTCTGTATTAAAGTGGGTCGGTATAACTTTATCTGATTCAAAATTAAAGTATTTTCAATAACAAATATTATATGCATCTAAATTATGAAAAAGGAAACGTTTATCATTGAATATTTATGATCAATACAAAAATTCCAAACTAGAACTAGACTTTTACCTTCCAAAATTGCTACCGACGATGCAATGCCAATTTCCCGGGAACTCCCGAAGCACTTCATTTCTAATGAAGGAAGCGATCTCCTGATTATCACCACCCGTTTTGATGGCAGCGAAGGCTACTTCCACTGCGAATTGTTGCATGTCATCGGGCAAATCAGTGGTCTTAACTTCCGCCTTTCGATGAGGCATGGCTAGTTAATGCAGTCTTTGAATAACTGAGAGTTGAATCCTCTAGCTCAAACTTACTCTGGCACTCCCACTAGAATGCATGCATTCTTTGCATCGAGGTGTAACAATGGAATTGGCATCAACTCATCCTTTATTTGAGGAGCCAATGACAATTCGCAATACTAATTATTGCGTTCTCTGGTGAGCAGACGCCAAGTATGTCACGCATTTTTGCATTCGGTTTCAACGAATCTTCATTTACGTAGGCATTTCTTTAAAGATCGATTTGGCACTCAACCAGCTTTTAACCTTAGGAAAATGTATTAAAATACTGAAAATGACCATCCAGCCTGTAATTAGTAGATGTCGAACTATTTTAAGATCAACAAATGTAGGAAGCGCGGTCTATTTACACGTGAATTTAAGAAATTAGAGATAATTCAATATGGAACGAAATAGCATAAAGGTCTATAGAATAAGTAATGTACAAAAGAGTATAAAAATAATGAAGGTTACGGAAGTGGGAGGTTAAAACCACTTTGCTACAAATGTCAGTACCTTCCATAGCAAAGTGAGATTGTAGACGACCCATGCCTCCACGAAGTGTTCCCATACTGACGATTCCTTGTTGCAAACTTACCAGCCAGTTCTCATTTTCTTCCAACCAGTTTATTCTTACTGTGGAAGGCTAATATCCAGGATCAGTAGGTACAAAGCTACAAAAGGTGATAAGAAGAGCAACGAACTAGTAATGAGATTTATAGAAGGGCAAGAAGTGGAGAGGATCACAAGTGCAGAAGGTGGGAGGAACTCACTGCAGGACCAGAGACTAGGAGTTGACGAGAGGTCAAGTAGATGTCCTTTCGAAAGCATGAAACGTTAAATTGCAGCCAGGATGAAGGTTATTTTTGAGTAAGCATAAATTTATTCGCCTAAAAATGGAAATCTTAAAGGATAATTTAAGATTTCACATGTGAAGTTAGGAGAAAGTACTCATTAAAGGAGTTGGGCAAGGTAGAAAACTATTGTCATAAGAGTAATCGTCTCCATCGAAAATTTAATGTTATGTGATAAGATCTCACAGCTTTATAGTAGTTATTTGGACAATTACCAAGCTATCTAAAAGGCGCTAACTTAGACCCGGGAACAGCCAACAACAATATATTTATATGTCAAAATTTGAGTGAAATTAAACCCCACTGATGACCTTAATAAACTCACTACAACTACTTAACCCAAACAGAAGCATTCGCGGACTGCTCTTAGTGTTATATGCTCCATCGTGCTCGAAATATATTAATTGTTACTCCGTCAGTGGTAATAACCAAGTTGTTATTTCGAAACGAATTAAAATTGAAATAGCTGATTCATACATGTGACACACATAGCTTAAAAGAGCTTTATGCATAATCGCCTGTCTGGTAAAAGTGGAATGATATTTCAATGTAAAATTTAATTTTGAAATAAAATTGCAATTTTTAAGCCTACTTACATAGGCACAAGTAGAGTACTTGCAAATATTATTTGCGATGCAGCGTTAGGCGTGTAAATTTGTCAACATCTGCGCCTACATTTATGATCGGATAAGAGCAATAAAGAGCGACTAGCACAAAAGGCCATGTCTTTTCTTTCTCGTCTCTTTTATGTTCACCGAAACAATAAAACACACAAGAAGAGAGGATGTAGCGCAGTCGTCGGCAAGGCGTGTGAAAATTCACAGCGAATATCCTCATTGACATTTGGCCGTATGCGCGCATGCTTTGATGTTGCTCCCTTCTTACGAATGCAGCTGCCTTTCCGCATTCTTGCCTCTTGCAAAATGCTTGAGATGTGTTGGTTTATATATCACCCAAAAATCGATCATATTATCTCTGCGTCTGCTTTGTAAATTGAATTATTTATTTATATCAAACGGCAGGCGTTTTGATAGTTATCATTAGCCATTTAGCTGACTTCGAACTTCACAGAGGGGAAGATCACCAAAGTCACAGAAAGTCAAAAGGGGGGGGGAAGAAGAGTGATTCACAGAAGTAAAAGAGACAGACAGACACTATGGCAGAGAAAAAGCAAGATGAGTGCTCTGGAAGTGGCCAAATATCACATACATTGGGGTTATGATAGTTTGTACTTAGAAGTTAACTGCAGGTTTATAGATTTTTTTGCCGTATGAGTATACGTTGACCAG